CTGTAAACCCCTGTGTTGTCAGGAGACCTTTAGCATGTGAAATAACTTAAGCTCCGATAGTTTTTTTTTTATTTTTTTTATGAGCAGGCAATGTGAAACGAGCTGGACTGAACGCCATTAAACTGATGAATTTAATTCAATTCGTAGTGGGTAAAAYGTGAGGGTGTTTGTGTTGACAAAAGAGCAAATCTGATAAACGTTTATCTCATGCTAATATAAATTAAAGCAGCACAGAGGAAGAGAACATGTTCTTAGTAGCATTCCTAACTGATAAAAGATGGACTCAGTGCTTTTTGAATAGTCTTCCTCACTCCACTGCACTCCACCCAGCCTACCCCACCTTCCTGGCATATTGGTTTACCCCTGCCAAAAATTTAATTCAATCCCACTAAGTTGCTTGAGCTTTAATTAAATAGACCAAGGGCCTTGGCGGGATTTCATTTTCTTTCTTGTTAAGTGAACTTTACAGACACTGTAGATTCTTTGCTAGTAAAGARCCGGGACCCGAGAGGAGGCGATGAAGTCTTTTCACTTCCCTTCGGTGTAATCGCGTCATTTTCGAGCTGTAACTTGGGTTTCTCCCCGAACCAAACGGGATTAGATGCAGACGGTGTCAGTTTTTGAGGTTTACGGTGAAGTCACTGAGTTAAATATTATTTGTAGATGTTTGTTGCTCAGAAAGCGGACAGTACCATTTACAATCGTAAATCTAAGCACCGATGCTATTAAAATAAAGGCCCAGTAACAAACCGTTTCAGCTGACAGTCATGATGAAATAAATGTCTTGGAAAAAAATGGCAGATATTATTCATGGCTTTGGTTGTGAACACACGCGTTCCTTAAAGCTGTCTTCTAAATTATATGAAGAGAACACATAAATTTGCTGCTGTGCTGCTGTTTGTTGACACAGCATGCTGTTGATGTTGCGGTTTTTTCATCCCTAAACCAGAGCAACATTTTTTTTCTATAATACAAATCATTTTGTTGTCAGCATGTGTTCATCAGTTTATTTTTTTTCAGAAGACCGTTTTGTTGCAGTGTGAGCAGTCTGAAAAACAGTCATTAAGAGTAAAGACAAATTTTCTTAATCCACCAAAACAAATCAGCTCATGCATGGGTTTATCCATGTCTTCACCTCTTAAACCTGACATGTTCAACATAAATAATGCTTTGAAGATTATTTGAACTTTTTTTAAAGAAATGGTATGCTTCTCCAGTCTGGCTGTTTGGATTTTTTTATTATTATTATAATTTTTATTTAGCCCTGTGATGGACTTGCGACCTGTCCAGGGTATACCCCRCCCCTCGCACTGTGACTGCTGGATATGGTTACCAGTGACCCACGCGACCCTGAAAAGGAAGAAGCGTGTACAGAAAATGGATGGATGGATGGATAATTTTTATTTATTTTTTTTGCCATGATAAAACTACAAAAACAAAATCTCGACACTCTTCTGAATAAATTCTCTTTAATTCATACAAAAACAAGTAAAAAACATTCATAATCAGGCCTGAGAGGGACTTCATCAATCTCTGATTTGTCCTATTTTTGCGACTACTGTTTGACTTCAGTGGAAAAGCTTGTGCATAAAACAAACCCGGAAAAATTTAGCTAAGCAGTCAGACTTCAGCTACCTCCCTTTTTTTTTCTTCTTCCACATTTCAAGATGCAGAGGTGGAGCACAGCCAAAAATAAATATAAAAAAAGCCACTGAATAAATCACATTTGGAGTTGGCAGAGGATTTGCCTTCTGTTTCCATTCTCAACAACCACCTTTAATTTCTACAATTCTATGTAAAACCTGCCAGATGTTGGTCTTCGCTGAATAGCTTTGTAATTTGCAAAAAAAGAAAAAAAATGTTTACAAAAAAGTGAAAATATTACACTGGTTCTTATTGGGGTCATATAATTACCCAATTTTTAGGTTAAGTTATTTAAAATTGCATAGTAGTTCTGACTGTTGTAAAAAAAAAAATTAGCTTTATCAAATTGTATTTCTGTTTTCATTGCATAATAAATCCATCATACAGTAAATAAATGAGATGTGGGATTTCCTCTGAATGTTGTAAGTAAAGCTGAATTCAGCCGTGATTAAAGAGGAAAGCAGGCTACTGAATATGACGCGCCTCCTTATCTTTCCCTCTTCTCTCTCCATCTAGGCTGTCGGCCATCACAGAGCAACAGATGGAGGTGCACAACAGGATATTACCACTAAGAGGATTCCTGTTTCTTYGCCTGTCGCCACAGACTTTTTTGCATGGACAGAGTCTTTCATCGTGACCCAGCTCGGCTGGCTTACTGGAACCGACGTAGAGTTGTTGGTTAAGCCCTGTGAAACTCGCCAGGATGCATGTTGACCCGCTTGGCAAACAGACAACCCCTGATGGAGTACACCGTGAATAACATTAAATTAATTCACCAGGTGTGATTAGAAAGTCCTGGCAAAACCTTGAGGCTTTTTTTTTACTACAAACTTTCACTCCGAGCTTAAAGGTATGTTCCAGCTCTCTGGATTTGAGTGGCTCGGTGTCAAATTTTACTCTCTTACAGCAGCGTGCTCCCTGGTGATAGGAAGCTTTTTAAATGTTAATGCTGTTACTATGTTACAGTTTTGTAAGATCGGTCTAAAATGTATACTACTCAAGTCATTTTATACGTATGTATACCTTTATAAATTATATTTACAAATCTAATTAAAATACTAACATTCCTTGAAGAAATACATGTCACCTTCTCAGTGTTGTACTTTTACTCAAGTATCACTTTGAGGTACTTTATACAAGTATCTTATCATAAAAATACTTTGGTAAAAGTTAGTCTTCTCTAAAAATAGTACTTGAGTAAAAGTCTTAAAATATCTGATATGTTTTGTACTTAAGTATCAAAAGTAAATTTCTGACACAAAATCTACTTAAGTATTAAAAGTAAAAATACTGAGTAAAAGTGAGCAGTTAGATTTTCCAAAATGACATTTATTGAAAGGAAAATATTTTTTCTAATGGTGTGCAGCTGTGACTGTGTACAAGCTTAGGGTGTCAGGATGGTATATTTTTATACAATTAAATTCACTCTATCCAGGAGACACAATTTATCAGGACAGTATTTTTTAAGTRATAACTCAGAATAAAATAGGAGTAACAAGTTTCTACTTCTTACCTTTTTTTAAAAAAATGTAGTGAGTAGAAAGTACAGATAACTGTGTAAAAATGTAATGAATAAAAGTAAAAGGTACGCTGAAAAATAAGTAAAATACAGATAACCAAAATTTCTACTTAAGTACAGTAACCAAGTATTTGTACTTAGTTACTTTACAACTCTGCACCTTGTGCGCTTCATGCTAAAGTTCTAAATAAGATMATTTTTGTTGACAAAAGGTGAAGATATAGCTTTTATAGTGAAAACCTAGAAATCAACATTATGAATACTTTCCTGCRTTACTGTAATCTATAAATATCTTGTCTGATCTCTGGTCTGTTAGTGTTTGTGTGAGCTGTGATCACCGCCTTTTACCACACCAAACTGTATCTGAGTATCTGGTAAACCAGGGGTGGGCATCGAGGGGTGCAGTCCTGCATGTTTTAGGTGTTTCTCTGCTCAACTCACCTGATTTGAATGAATGGGTGATTATCAGGCTTCTGCAGAACTTGGAAGAGGTAAATCACTGACTGAATCAGCTGTGTTGAAGCAGGGAAAAAGTAAAACATGCAGGGCTGCGGCCAGGACTGCCTACCCCGTGTTAAAACGACTGAGCTCCAGCCGTTTTGTGTAGGCTAATGTTAATTAGCTGAGGTGACCATATTCAGTTATGTTTATTCCAAAAGTAATCTGATAAATATGTGCAGAAAATAATCTCTCTGAATTTTAATACGGTTTGTCCCGTGGTTCATGATGCTAACAAACAGGGTTGACTTAAGCAAAAAGTGTTGCACAATTTGCAGCACTGAATGTGATTCTCAGCTACTACCAAACCAAATATTGGCCCTCATGCAAGAACATGTTCGTATTCTAATCCTAAATTTCTCTTACCTTTGTTCGTACAAAGGGTTCATACGAACATGCCACGTCAGATTCAACAAACTCTTCTATCTTCAGGAAAAGTGTGTAAATGAGCTGCGTAAATTCACCTGTTCGTATCCAGCTGCTCGTGCACGCGAGAGGAGATTAGCATAATTACCACCCCAAAAACACCATATAAGGCTATGTTTCCTGCCTCAGATAC